TTATAGAGCGCCTTTCACGTCGGGAGGACGTCCCAAGGCGCTGGACAGTTGGGTCGGGACCCGAGCAGGGGGGAAATGGTCAGGGTGAGGGGAGGGAAGGGAGGGAGCGAGGAGGGGGTAGAGGGTCGAGAGGGGAGCCGAAAGCACGGTTGAAGAGAAAGGTCTTGAGACCGGCCTTGAAGGAGGAAAGGGAGGAAGCGGCGAAGGCACTGGGGGATGGAGTTCCAGAGCCTCGGGGCTGAGAGGCTAAAAGTCCGGCCACCAATGGTAGGGCGGTTGGAACGGGGGATGTGGAGCAGACCGGAGGGTACGGGCAGGTAGGTTGGGGGATAGTAGGTTGGAGAGGTAGGAGGGAGCGAGGCCATGAATGGCCTTGTAGGTGAGGATGAGGATCTAGAATTCGATCCTCTGGGGGATGGGGAACCAGTGGAGGCGAGCGAGGGCGAGGGTGAGGGCGAGGATGAGGGTGGGAGTGATGTGGGCGCGAGGCCTGGTGCGGGACAGTACACGAGCTGCAGAGTTCTGAATGACCTGCAGTGTGGAGGGAGGGCCGGGAAAGCCGGCGAGGAGAGAGTTCCCATAGTCCAGCCTTGAGGTGATAAAGGCGTGGACCAGTGTTTCAGCCGCGTGAGGGGTGAGGTAGTGCTGTAGCCTGGTGATGTTCTGGAGGTGGTGGAAGGCGGTGCCAGTTATGGCGCGGATGTGGGGCAGAAAGGAGAACTCAGGGTCGAGCTACAGGAATCCACAAACTAGCGAGAATGTGGACTCACTGCTGGAAGCTGTGGTTGAAGTAAAGCACATCAATGTATTTAAGAGGAAACTTGCTGCAGATATGAAAGAGAAGGGAATAGAGGGGAAGAGGAGAGGCAATTGGGAAGGTTGGAGGCGCGGAAGCTCGTGTGGAGTAAAAATCCCTGGAATAAACAGTTTGGAGCGAATGGCCTGTTTTGTGCTGTAACATTTTATAACTCCATTTGGCAACTCCCACCTCCATTTTTCCAACTCCCTCCCCGCCGGTCTCCCCAACTCCACCACCTCATGAAATCCAACTGATTCAGAACTCTGCTGCCCGTACCCTCACCAAACCAAACTGCGCACCTTCATCACTCACTCCAGTTATATAATCCTTGCATTTGATATACCGCCTTATCACTTTTACTATTTTATTATTATGATTATTATTATATTATCCCGACATTGAGACATCTCAAAATTCACAGAATTTACTGTAAAGTGAACTAACTGTGTATTTTGTGGGCGAAATCTTGCCAAGCTCCACTGGCTCCCTATTGTAGAACGATCAATTCTAAGATCTTCACACGTCAATATCAATTCACACACTAGATCTCTGACCTGCTCACACCCATTCCTCTATCAACCTTCTTTGCTCAGCTGGCTCAGCCCTCTTGCACATCCCTCGTTCTCTCTGTTCCAACCATCGCAGCCTTGCTTTCTGCCACTATGCCCTGAAACTCTGTCACTTCCTACCTCAATCCCTCCACCTGGCCTCCTTGCCTGTCTTCAGATCACACCTGAAGACCTTCCTCTTTGTCTGCGCCTACGGACACCTCCCCTTTCTCTCTGGCTCTGCATCAAGCTCCGCCACTGTCATGCACTCCGAGACACCGCCCCGCGTAAAGGGCAGTATATAAATGCAACTTGTTGTTCTCGTATGTGATTTACAGGACCTATGCTTACTGTGGCCGTGTGAACATCCCCCCAGACCCCACCATAGAGAAAGGGCAGAAAGGAGTATCTGTATTCATCAAGACTCCACTGTCAGCCTATGGCTGTGTTGGTGTCCTGAGCTACATGTTTGATGACCAGCAAATATCTCTGCTTTTCTCCAACCCTCTCGACCAACTGAAGTATAACGTCGAATATGCCCTCTACATTCCTGACCAAACAACACCGACCGATGAAGCTTTATATAACAATATGTACTACCATTTGTTGGAGACCAAATCCTTCACGAAGGCGTCCCTTGGCAGAGGGAATGCAACGCTACAGATTGTCACTGACCAGATGGAGGTCACAGCTACAATGGCAAATGAGAAAAGTAAAGCCATAATCAAACTGCAGGTCGGAGATGCTTCCTCAACTCCTTTCAGTCCCAACTGATGTGATGTTTGGTGAGAAACGAACGGATACTCATATCTGTCACAGCATCGCTGCATTTAGCCGTCCTCCCCGCAGATTGCAAAACAACCCCTTCTTAAAGGCTTCGTTAACTGAGTTGTACTCAGCCCCTCCCCAAATCATATTTCCACCCGCTTCCTATGCACAGAGGGAGTTTGCTCAGGATCACTCACAATGCCTTTTCTATATTGGTTCTTAAGCGAGTAGAAATAAGCAGAATTAATTTTCTACTTATCTTTTCCCACATATAGATTTCGTGGGACTCAAAGAACCAAAATTCATTGCTCGCTGCTTTTCTGCCCTCAATTTATTTTTGAAATGAATCTTGACTTTATTTTGCAAAACATTTTTAGCACCACTTTGTAATGCCGTGGTTTGGAATAAAAGACAATACAAAATCAAGTGTTTATGTGTTACTTTGAACTCATGGTGTATGGTGACTCCAGCTCAGTGCTGGGGATGCCTTACATCATTTCAGAGGTGCCATTGTTTGGATGAGAAGTTAAACCGAGATCCTGTCTGTACTTGATCAGTTGAACCTGGCACTATTTTAAAACCTGGCACTATTCCTGGCACGATTTTGTTTGCCTGGCCCAGGAAATGTACCCAACCAACAGCATCTTGGCAATCTGTGATATTATTTAAAACCATCTCACACTGCATTTCCCTCCCTCTTTGTGGACATTAAAGGGTTTCACCATTTCCTGACTGTAACAGATTCATCAGGAGACCATCAATTGGTTTTGTAATTGTAAAATAGTTTAAGCAATCAATATAAACAGTCAGCACATTGAACAGTTAGCTTAACTTGTTGCTCAAACTGAGACAATAGATACAGTAAACAACAACAACAACAAATTACATTTGAAAAGCTCCTTTCACATCAAGAGGACATCTCACACGCTGCACAGTCAGGGATCCACACCTGAGCTGATGGTGGAGTTCAGGAGGGGTTGAGGGTAGGGAGGGGAGGGGTAGGAGGGTGACCGAATGCACAGTCGAAAAGGAAGGGTCTCGAGACAGGTCTTGAAGGAGGCAAGTGAGGTGGGGGGGGGGGCGGTGAGGCGAAGGGACTGTGGGATGGATTAAAATCAATTACCCAATTCCATTGGGAAGCTTGCTGACCCTCTATGATAACTTAGACTTTTCCAAAATGACTTTAAGAGGAATAAGAGGAATTTTGGCTTCCTCTTATTGTGCTCAAGCACCTTGGTTGCTCAGACCCCGGGACAGGAGGTCATGTAATCAGAACAGAAAGGAGACAATCAGTTCACTTATCTTTTCACACATATAGGTTTCGTGGGACTCAGAGGACTAAACCCATAAACCAGTTCCCCAATTAGGGGTGGTAAGCGGGGACTCCCTGGAAATGAACTGAACTGGAAAATTCCAGCAACAACAACAACAACAACAAGATTCCATTTATAGAGCGCCTTTCACGTCTGGAGGATGTCCCAAAGCGCTGGACAGTTGGGTCAGGACCCGAGCAGCGGGGAAATGGTCAGGGTGAGGGGAGGGAAGGGAGGGAGTGAGGAGGGGAAAATGGTCAGGGTGAGGGGGGGGGAAGGGAGGGAGTGAGGAGGGGGGAAATGGTCAGGGTGAGGGGGGGAAGGGAGGGAGTGAGGAGGGGGAAATGGTCAGGGTGAGAGGGGAAGCGAGGGAGTGAGGAGGGGGGAAATGGTCAGGGTGAGGGGGGGGGAAGGGAGGGAGTGAGGAGGGGGAAATGGTCAGGGTGAGGGGGGGAAGGGAGGGAGTGAGGAGGGGGAAATGGTCAGGGTGAGTGGGGGGAAGGGAGGGAGTGATGAGGGGGGAAATGGTCAGGGTGAGGGGAGGGAAGGGAGGGAGTGAGGAGGGGGAAATGGTCAGGGTGAGGGGAGGGAAGGGAGGGAGTGAGGAGGGAGTAGAGAGTCGAGAGGGGAGCTGAAGGCTCGGTCAAAGAGAAAGGTCTTGAGACCGGCCTTGAAGGAGGAAAGGGAGGAAGCGGCGAAGGCACTGGGGGATGGAGTTCCAGAGCCTCAGGGCTGAGAGGCTAAAGGCCCGGCCACCGATGGTAGGGCGGTTGGGGCGGGGGATGTGGAGCAGACCGGAGCCATAAGTACTCCAACGAACACTCTGGGGTCTCCGAGCTTTGGCTTTTGGCAACTGTGCCTAATGCTCTATGTAATTAGGTAAGCAGGATGCATCCCCCCAGGGGAGAGAGTTGGCACCCATTGTAGATGTCGGTGGAACATATGCAGAACTCTCAGTTTGGAGACTCTTAAGCACGGCGATGGGTTTCTGCACGTATCTGACACTTGTCTGACCCCCCCAAATAGTCAGGAAAATTGTTATTCTGCCATATTGAGTGCCAGTGTGAGTGCATGAGTGTGTGTGTGTAAGTGTTTTGGGGTATGAGAATGTGTGTGAGTGGTTTGGGGTGTGTCATTGATTATGTGCAGGAGTGTGAGTGAGCAGGGTCTGGCGTGTTTGTGAGTGTGTGTGGGAGAGAAAGAGTATGTATGTGTGCGTGTGTTGTGTGAGAGTGTGTAATAATAATCCCTCCAAAACAAAACTATAATAAATTGGTCATTTTCAATCCACGACTGTTTGTGCGACGCTGCTGTGCGCAAACGGCTGCCAAGTTTCGCCCACAAATATACAGTCAATTCACTTTACAGTCTATTCTATGAAGCGCTTTGAGACGTCGAGAAGACTTGAAAAGCGCTATATCAAATGCAAGGATTATTATTATTATTATGTGAGTGTATGTGTGAGAAAGAAAGAGTGTGTTTGTGTGTGAGAGAGACACTGTATGTCTGTGTGAGAATGTGTGTGTGTATGGAGGAGGGTGTTTGTGTGACATTGACCTGATCAGGAGGGTGTGGGGGTGTGTTGCTGCCTTTAACCCTCCTGGCTTTCTGCTCCTCGCTCTCTCACTTGTGTGGAGTTTGCGGAGCTGCCACAAGCCTCAGGATCAGGAACCACAGCAAAGAGAGGAGAGAAAAAGACAAGACCTGGGTATAAATCCTTTACTCCTGATCGTGTGTTGCAGATGATATTTTCACCTTAACACCATTTGCTGAGGGATAATACTTAAGCTTTTGTTTTGCAGACATGTCTGGAAAGTCGATAGAGGAGATTGTGAAAGATATTAATTCCACCAGATGTGTTGGGATTGAAATCACCAACAACAGCAAACATTTCAAGCTGTCTCTGCCTGCGTGAGTACAACACTTTCTGTAAACTTTCTGGAAACTTTCTAATTTTGTGTAAACAGAAAACACAAAGAAACGGATATTTTCAGATTTATTTGAGGCCTTGGTTGAGATAGGACTGTTCACTTTCCTGAGATAGTGCTCAGTGAGAGAGGTCCGAAGTGTTGATTTTTATTCTGTTTTGATTGTAATTTCCTCCCACATTTCCCGGTGTCTCCACCACCCTCCTCCCCCACAGCAAGAATGACATTTCGAGCTCTGAGCTCTCTGGTTCGATGTTTATGTTACACATTGTTTGAGGATTCGTGCCCTTCACATAGGGGAATGTCTCAGAGCGCTTCACAAAGACGGGTTGGACACCGGGGCACAAAAACACATGGGGGTATTTATAGAGGGTCAAAGTGGATGGAATTAACAGTGAATGAAATTGAATCAGCAATGAGCAGCCTCCCACAAACAGCTGTGGATTGAAGTGACCAATTCATTATTTATTTTTTGGAAGGAATTATTACCCCCAGAAAAGCGATCCGCCAGTCGACCAACAACCAGGTTCCTACTTACTGCTGAATAAACAAAGGCTTGTAGAGCAAAGAAACTTACCCAACGTTTCGTTATATATATATTATATATATATATTAGCATGGATTGAAGAATGGCTAATGGGAAGAAAAGAAAGAGTAGGGGTAAACGGGTCCTTCTCAGATTGGCGGGATTTGGCTAGTGGAGTGCCACAATGATCAACTATTCACAATCTACATCAACATCTACATCTACATCAGACCTGAGTTCAATTCCAGGCAGAGGGCGAAACCTTGGGCAAGTTTCCTTACTCCACACAGAGCCTAATAATAATCCCTCCAAAACCCAAAACAATAATAAATTGGTCATATTCAGTCTACGACTGTTTGTGGGACATTGCTGTGCGCAATTGGCTGCCGCGTTCGCCCACAAATATACAGTCAATTCACTTTACAGTGTGTTCTGTGAAACGCTTTGGGACGTCCTCCCGACGTGAAAAGTTCTATATCAAATGCAAGGATTATTATAATTAGTTATTATTATTATTTTCTAGAAAGGGAGAGACTAGATAGTGTTAGCGTTCAGAGGGACTTGGGTGTCCTTGTACACCAGTCACAAAAAGTTAGTTTGCAGATACAGCAAGCAGTTAGGAAGGCTAACGGGATGTTGGCATTTGTTACAAAAGGATTAGAATATAAGAGTAGGGAAGTCTTGCTGCAACTGTACAGGGCCCTGGTGAGACCGCACTTACAACAACAACAACATGATTGCATTTATAGAGCGCCTTTCACGTCGGGAGGACGTCCCAAGGCGCTGGACAGTTGGGTCGGGACCCGAGCAGGGGGGAAATGGTCAGGGTGAGGGGAGGGAAGGGAGGGAGCGAGGAGGGGGTAGAGGGTCGAGAGGGGAGCTGAAGGCACGGTTGAAGAGAAAGGTCTTGAGACCGGCCTTGAAGGAGGAAAGGGAGGAAGCGGCGAAGGCACTGGGGGATGGAGTTCCAGAGCCTCGGGGCTGAGAGGCTAAAAGTCCGGCCACCAATGGTAGGGCGGTTGGAACGGGGGATGTGGAGCAGACCGGAGGGTACGGGCAGGTAGGTTGGGGGATAGTAGGTTGGAGAGGTAGGAGGGAGCGAGGCCATGAATGGCCTTGTAGGTGAGGATGAGGATCTAGAATTCGATCCTCTGGGGGATGGGGAACCAGTGGAGGCGAGCGAGGGTGGGAGTGATGTGGGCGCGAGGCCTGGTGCGGGACAGTACACGAGCTGCAGAGTTCTGAATGACCTGCAGTGTGGAGGGAGGGCCGGGAAAGCCGGCGAGGAGAGAGTTCCCATAGTCCAGCCTTGAGGTGATAAAGGCGTGGACCAGTGTTTCAGCCGCGTGAGGGGTGAGGTAGTGCTGTAGCCTGGTGATGTTCTGGAGGTGGTGGAAGGCGGTGCCAGTTATGGCGCGGATGTGGGGCAGAAAGGAGAACTCAGGGTCGAGCTACAGGAATCCACAAACTAGCGAGAATGTGGACTCACTGCTGGAAGCTGTGGTTGAAGTAAAGCACATCAATGTATTTAAGAGGAAACTTGCTGCAGATATGAAAGAGAAGGGAATAGAGGGGAAGAGGAGAGGCAATTGGGAAGGTTGGAGGCGCGGAAGCTCGTGTGGAGTAAAAATCCCTGGAATAAACAGTTTGGAGCGAATGGCCTGTTTTGTGCTGTAGCATTTTATAACTCCATTTGGCAACTCCCACCTCCATTTTTCCAACTCCCTCCCCGCCGGTCTCCCCAACTCCACCACCTCATGAAATCCAACTGATTCAGAACTCTGCTGCCCGTACCCTCACCAAACCAAACTGCGCACCTTCATCACTCACTCCAGTTATATAATCCTTGCATTTGATATACCGCCTTATCACTTTTACTATTTTATTATTATGATTATTATTATATTATCCCGACATTGAGACATCTCAAAATTCACAGAATTTACTGTAAAGTGAACTAACTGTGTATTTTGTGGGCGAAATCTTGCCAAGCTCCACTGGCTCCCTATTGCAGAACGATCAATTCTAAGATCTTCACACGTCAATATCAATTCACACACTAGATCTCTGACCTGCTCACACCCACTCCTCTATCAACCTTCTTTGCTCAGCTGGCTCAGCCCTCTTGCACATCCCTCGTTCTCTCTGTTCCAACCATCGCAGCCTTGCTTTCTGCCACTATGCCCTGAAACTCTGTCACTTCCTACCTCAATCCCTCCACCTGGCCTCCTTGCCTGTCTTCAGATCGCACCTGAAGACCTTCCTCTTTGTCTGTGCCTACGGACACCTCCCCTTTCTCTCTGGCTCTGCATCAAGCTCCGCCACTGTCATGCGCTCCGAGACACCGCCCCGCGTAAAGGGCAGTATATAAATGCAACTTGTTGTTCTCGTATGTGATTTACAGGACCTATGCTTACTGTGGCCGTGTGAACATCCCCCCAGACCCCACCATAGAGAAAGGGCAGAAAGGAGTATCTGTATTCATCAAGACTCCACTGTCAGCCTATGGCTGTGTTGGTGTCCTGAGCTACATGTTTGATGACCAGCAAATATCTCTGCTTTTCTCCAACCCTCTCGACCAACTGAAGTATAACGTTGAATATGCCCTCTACATTCCTGACCAAACAACACCGACCGATGAAGCTTTATATAACAATATGTACTACCATTTGTTGGAGACCAAATCCTTCACGAAGGCGTCCCTTGGCAGAGGGAATGCAACGCTACAGATTGTCACTGACCAGATGGAGGTCACAGCTACAATGGCAAATGAGAAAAGTAAAGCCATAATCAAACTGCAGGTCGGAGATGCTTCCTCAACTCCTTTCAGTCCCAACTGATGTGATGTTTGGTGAGAAACGAACGGATACTCATATCTGTCACAGCATCGCTGCATTTAGCCGTCCTCCCCGCAGATTGCAAAACAACCCCTTCTTAAAGGCTTCGTTAACTGAGTTGTACTCAGCCCCTCCCCAAATCATATTTCCACCCGCTTCCTATGCACAGAGGGAGTTTGCTCAGGATCACTCACAATGCCTTTTCTATATTGGTTCTTAAGCGAGTAGAAATAAGCAGAATTAATTTTCTACTTATCTTTTCCCACATATAGATTTCGTGGGACTCAAAGAACCAAAATTCATTGCTCGCTGCTTTTCTGCCCTCAATTTATTTTTGAAATGAATCTTGACTTTATTTTGCAAAACATTTTTAGCACCACTTTGTAATGCCGTGGTTTGGAATAAAAGACAATACAAAATCAAGTGTTTATGTGTTACTTTGAACTCATGGTGTATGGTGACTCCAGCTCAGTGCTGGGGATGCCTTACATCATTTCAGAGGTGCCATTGTTTGGATGAGAAGTTAAACCGAGATCCTGTCTGTACTTGATCAGTTGAACCTGGCACTATTTTAAAACCTGGCACTATTCCTGGCACGATTTTGTTTGCCTGGCCCAGGAAATGTACCCAACCAACAGCATCTTGGCAATCTGTGATATTATTTAAAACCATCTCACACTGCATTTCCCTCCCTCTTTGTGGACATTAAAGGGTTTCACCATTTCCTGACTGTAACAGATTCATCAGGAGACCATCAATTGGTTTTGTAATTGTAAAATAGTTTAAGCAATCAATATAAACAGTCAGCACATTGAACAGTCAGCTTAACTTGTTGCTCAAACTGAGACAATAGATACAGTAAACAACAACAACAAATTACATTTGAAAAGCTCCTTTCACATCAAGAGGACATCTCACACGCTGCACAGTCAGGGATCCACACCTGAGCTGATGGTGGAGTTCAGGAGGGGTTGAGGGTAGGGAGGGGAGGGGTAGGAGGGTGACCGAATGCACAGTCGAAAAGGAAGGGTCTCGAGGGAGGCAAGTGGGGTGGGGGTGGGGGGGGGGGCGGTGAGGCGAAGGGACTGTGGGATGGATTAAAATCAATTACCCAATTCCATTGGGAAGCTCGCTGACCCTCTATGATAACTTAGACTTTTCCAAAATGACTTTAAGAGGAATAAGAGGAATTTTGGCTTCCTCTTATTGTGCTCAAGCACCTTGGTTGCTCAGACCCCGGGACAGGAGGTCATGTAATCAGAACAGAAAGGAGACAATCAGTTCGCTTATCTTTTCACACATATAGGTTTCGTGGGACTCACAGGACTAAACCCATAAACCGGTTCCCCAATTAGGGGTGGTAAGCGGGGACTCCCTGGAAATGAACTGAACTGGAAAATTCCAGCAACAACAACAACAACAACAAGATTCCATTTATAGAGCGCCTTTCACGTCTGGAGGATGTCCCAAAGCGCTGGACAGTTGGGTCAGGACCCGAGCAGCGGGGAAATGGTCAGGGTGAGGGGAGGGAAGGGAGGGAGTGAGGAGGGGGGAAATGGTCAGGGTGAGGGGAGGGAAGGGAGGGAGTGAGGAGGGGGGAAATGGTCAGGGTGAGGGGGGGGAAGGGAGGGAGTGATGAGGGGGGAAATGGTCAGGGTGAGGGGGGAGAAGGGAGGGAGTGAGGAGGGGGGAAATGGTCAGGGTGAGGGGAGGGAAGGGAGGGAGTGAGGAGGGAGTAGAGAGTCGAGAGGGGAGCTGAAGGCTCGGTCAAAGAGAAAGGTCTTGAGACCGGCCTTGAAGGAGGAAAGGGAGGAAGCGGCGAAGGCACTGGGGGATGGAGTTCCAGAGCCTCGGGGCTGAGAGGCTAAAGGCCCGGCCACCGATGGTAGGGCGGTTGGGGCAGGGGATGTGGAGCAGACCGGAGCCATAAGTACTCCAACGAACACTCTGGGGTCTCCGAGCTTTGGCTTTTGGCAACTGTGCCTAATGCTCTATGTAATTAGGTAAGCAGGATGCATCCCCCCAGGGGAGAGAGTTGGCACCCATTGTAGATGTCGGTGGAACATATGCAGAACTCTCAGTTTGGAGACTCTTAAGCACGGCGATGGGTTTCTGCACGTATCTGACACTTGTCTGACCCCCCAAATAGTCAGGAAAATTGTTATTCTGCCATATTGAGTGCCAGTGTGAGTGCATGAGTGTGCGTGTGTAAGTGTTTTGGGGTATGAGAATGTGTGTGAGTGGTTTGGGGTGTGTCATTGATTATGTGCAGGAGTGTGAGTGAGCAGGGTCTGGCGTGTTTGTGTGTGTGTGTGGGAGAGAAAGAGTATGTATGTGTGCGTGTGTTGTGTGAGAGTGTGTAATAATAATCCCTCCAAAACAAAACTATAATAAATTGGTCATTTTCAATCCACGACTGTTTGTGCGACGCTGCTGTGCGCAAACGGCTGCCAAGTTTCGCCCACAAATATACAGTCAATTCACTTTACAGTCTATTCTATGAAGCGCTTTGAGACGTCGAGAAGACTTGAAAAGCGCTATATCAAATGCAAGGATTATTATTATTATTATGTGAGTGTATGTGTGAGAAAGAAAGAGTGTGTTTGTGTGTGAGAGAGACACTGTATGTCTGTGTGAGAATGTGTGTGTGTATGGAGGAGGGTGTTTGTGTGACATTGACCTGATCAGTATTCAGGGAGGGTGTGGGGGTGTGTTGCTGCCTTTAACCCTCCTAGCTTTCTGCTCCTCGCTCTCTCACTTGTGTGGAGTTTGCGGAGCTGCCACAAGCCTCAGGATCAGGAACCACAGCAAAGAGAGGAGAGAAAAGGACAAGACCTGGGTATAAATCCTTTACTCCTGATCGTGTGTTGCAGATGATATTTTCACCTTAACACCATTTGCTAAGGGATAATACTTAGGCTTTTGTTTTGCAGACATGTCTGGAAAGTCGATAGAGGAGATTGTGAAAGATATTAATTCCACCAGATGTGTTGGGATTGAAATCACCAACAACAGCAAACATTTCAAGCTGTCTCTGCCTGCGTGAGTACAACACTTTGTGTAAACTTCCTGGAAACTTTTTAATTTTGTGTAAACAGAAAACACAAAGAAACGGATATTTTCAGATTTATTTGAGGCCTTGGTTGAGATAGGACTGTTCACTTTCCTGAGATAGTGCTCAGTGAGAGAGGTCCGAAGTGTTGATTTTTATTCTGTTTTGATTGTAATTTCCTCCCACATTCCCCGGTGTCTCCACCACCCTCCTCCCCCACAGCAAGAATGACATTTCGAGCTCTGAGCTCTCTGGTTCGATGTTTATGTTACACATTGTTTGAGGATTCGTGCCCTTCACATAGGGGAATGTCTCAGAGCGCTTCACAAAGACGGGTTGGACACCGGGGCACAAAAACACATGGGGGTATTTATAGAGGGTCAAAGTGGATGGAATTAACAGTGAATCAGCCGTTCTCCCAAACTCCACCACCTCATGAAATCCAACTGATTCAGAACTCTGCTGCCCGTACCCTCACCAAACCAAACTGCGCACCTTCATCACTCACTCCAGTTATATAATCCTTGCATTTGATATACCGCCTTATCACTTTTACTATTTTATTATTATGATTATTATTATATTATCCCGACATTGAGACATCTCAAAATTCACAGAATTTACTGTAAAGTGAACTAACTGTGTATTTTGTGGGCGAAATCTTGCCAAGCTCCACTGGCTCCCTATTGCAGAACGATCAATTCTAAGATCTTCACACGTCAATATCAATTCACACACTAGATCTCTGACCTGCTCACACCCACTCCTCTATCAACCTTCTTTGCTCAGCTGGCTCAGCCCTCTTGCACATCCCTCGTTCTCTCTGTTCCAACCATCGCAGCCTTGCTTTCTGCCACTATGCCCTGAAACTCTGTCACTTCCTACCTCAATCCCTCCACCTGGCCTCCTTGCCTGTCTTCAGATCGCACCTGAAGACCTTCTTCTTTGTCTGCGCCTACGGACACCTCCCCTTTCTCTCTGGCTCTGCATCAAGCTCCGCCACTGTCATGCGCTCCGAGACACCGCCCCACGTAAAGGGCAGTATATAAATGCAACTTGTTCTTGTATGTGATTTACAGGACCTATGCTTACTGTGGCCGTGTGAACATCCCCCCAGACCCCACCATAGAGAAAGGGCAGAAAGGAGTATCTGTATTCATCAAGACTCCACTGTCAGCCTATGGCTGTGTTGGTGTCCTGAGCTACATGTTTGATGACCAGCAAATATCTCTGCTTTTCTCCAACCCTCTCGACCAACTGAAGTATAACGTCGAATATGCCCTCTACATTCCTGACCAAACAACACCGACCGATGAAGCTTTATATAACAATATGTACTACCATTTGTCGGAGACCAAATCCTTCACGAAGGCGTCCCTTGGCAGAGGGAATGCAACGCTACAGATTGTCACTGACCAGATGGAGGTCACAGCTACAATGGCAAATGAGAAAAGTAAAGCCATAATCAAACTGCAGGTCGGAGATGCTTCCTCAACTCCTTTCAGTCCCAACTGATGTGATGTTTGGTGAGAAACGAACGGATACTCATATCTGTCACAGCATCACTGCATTTAGCCGTCCTCCCCGCAGATTGCAAAACAACCCCTTCTTAAAGGCTTCGTTAACTGAGTTGTACTCAGCCCCTCCCCAAATCATATTTCCACCCGCTTCCTATGCACAGAGGGAGTTTGCTCAGGATCACTCACAATGCCTTTTCTATATTGGTTCTTAAGCGAGTAGAAATAAGCAGAATTAATTTTCTACTTATCTTTTCCAACATATAGATTTCGTGGGACTCAAAGAACCAAAATTCATTGCTCGCTGCTTTTCTGCCCTCAATTTATTTTTGAAATGAATCTTGACTTTATTTTGCAAAACATTTTTAGCACCACTTTGTAATGCCGTGGTTTGGAATAAAAGACAATACAAAATCAAGTGTTTATGTGTTACTTTGAACTCATGGTGTATGGTGACTCCAGCTCAGTGCTGGGGATGCCTTACATCATTTCAGAGGTGCCATTGTTTGGATGAGAAGTTAAACCGAGATCCTGTCTGTACTTGATCAGTTGAACCTGGCACTATTTTAAAACCTGGCACTATTCCTGGCACGATTTTGTTTGCCTGGCCCAGGAAATGTACCCAACCAACAGCATCTTGGCAATCTGTGATATTATTTAAAATCATCTCACACTGCATTTCCCTCCCTCTTTGTGGACATTAAAGGGTTTCACCATTTCCTGACTGTAACAGATTCATCAGGAGACCATCAATTGTTTTGTAATTGTAAAATAGTTTAAGCAATCAATATAAACAGTCAGCACATTGAACAGTTAGCTTAACTTGTTGCTCAAACTGAGACAATAGATACAGTAAACAACAACAACAAATTACATTTGAAAAGCTCCTTTCACATCAAGAGGACATCTCACACGCTGCACAGTCAGGGATCCACACCTGAGCTGATGGTGGAGTTCAGGAGGGGTTGAGGGTAGGGAGGGGAGGGGTAGGAGGGTGACCGAATGCACAGTCGAAAAGGAAGGGTCTCGAGGGAGGCAAGTGGGGTGGGGGTGGGGGGGGGCGGTGAGGCGAAGGGACTGGTGGGATGGATTAAAATCAATTACCCAATTCCATTGGGAAGCTCGCTGACCCTCTATGATAACTTAGACTTTTCCAAAATGACTTTAAGAGGAATAAGAGGAATTTTGGCTTCCTCTTATTGTGCTCAAGCACCTTGGTTGCTCAGACCCCGGGACAGGAGGTCATGTAATCAGAACAGAAAGGAGACAATCAGTTCACTTATCTTTTCACACATATAGGTTTCGTGGGACTCAGAGGACTAAACCCATAAACCGGTTCCCCAATTAGGGGTGGTAAGCGGGGACTCCCTGGAAATGAACTGAACTGGAAAATTCCAGCAACAACAACAACAACAACAAGATTCCATTTATAGAGCGCCTTTCACGTCTGGAGGATGTCCCAAAGCGCTGGACAGTTGGGTCAGGACCCGAGCAGGGGGGAAATGGTCAGGGTGAGGGGAGGGAAGGGAGGGAGTGAGGAGGGGGAAAATGGTCAGGGTGAGGGGGGGGGGAAGGGAGGGAGTGAGGAGGGGGGAAATGGTCAGGGTGAGGGGGGGGAAGGGAGGAGTGATGAGGGGGGAAATGGTCAGGGTGAGGGGAGGGGAAGGGAGGGAGTGAGGAGGGGGGAAATGGTCAGGGTGAGGGGGGGGAAGGGACGGAGTGAGGAGGGGGGAAATGGTCAGGGTGAGGGGGGGGAAGGGAGGGAGTGATGAGGGGGGAAATGGTCAGGGTGAGGGGGGGGAAGGGAGGGAGTGAGGAGGGGGAAAATGGTCAGGGTGAGGGGAGGGAAGGGAGGGAGTGAGGAGGGAGTAGAGAGTCGAGAGGGGAGCTGAAGGCTCGGTCAAAGAGAAAGGTCTTGAGACCGGCCTTGAAGGAGGAAAGGGAGGAAGCGGCGAAGGCACTGGGGGATGGAGTTCCAGAGCCTCAGGGCTGAGAGGCTGAAGGCCCGGCCACCGATGGTAGGGCGGTTGGGGCAGGGGATGTGGAGCAGACCGGAGCCATAAGTACTCCAACGAACACTCTGGGGTCTCCGAGCTTTGGCTTTTGGCAACTGTGCCTAATGCTCTATGTAATTAGGTAAGCAGGATGCATCCCCCCAGGGGAGAGAGTTGGCACCCATTGTAGATGTCGGTGGAACATATGCAATACTCTCAGTTTGGAGACTCTTAAGCACGGCGATGGGTTTCTGCACGTATCTGACACTTGTCTGACCCCCCAAATAGTCAGGAAAATTGTTATTCTGCCATATTGAGTGCCAGTGTGAGTGCATGAGTGTGCGTGTGTAAGTGTTTTGGGGTATGAGAATGTGTGTGAGTGGTTTGGGGTGTGTCATTGATTATGTGCAGGAGTGTGAGTGAGCAGGGTCTGGCGTGTTTGTGAGTGTGTGTGGGAGAGAAAGAGTATGTATGTGTGCGTGTGTTGTGTGAGAGTGTGTAATAATAATCCCTCCAAAACAAAACTATAATAAATTGGTCATTTTCAATCCACGACTGTTTGTGCGACGCTGCTGTGCGCAAACGGCTGCCAAGTTTCGCCCACAAATATACAGTCAATTCACTTTACAGTCTATTCTATGAAGCGCTTTGAGACGTCGAGAAGACTTGAAAAGCGCTATATCAAATGCAAGGATTATTATTATTATTATGTGAGTGTATGTGTGAGAAAGAAAGAGTGTGTTTGTGTGTGAGAGAGACACTGTATGTCTGTGTGAGAATGTGTGTGTGTATGGAGGAGGGTGTTTGTGTGACATTGACCTGATCAGTATTCAGGGAGGGTGTGGGGGTGTGTTGCTGCCTTTAACCCTCCTGGCTTTCTGCTCCTCGCTCTCTCACTTGTGTGGAGTTTGCGGAGCTGCCACAAGCCTCAGGATCAGGAACCACAGCAAAGAGAGGAGAGAAAAAGACAAGACCTGGGTATAAATCCTTTACTCCTGATCGTGTGTTGCAGATGATATTTTCACCTTAACACCATTTGCTGAGGGATAATACTTAAGCTTTTGTTTTGCAGACATGTCTGGAAAGTCGGTAGAGGAGATTGTGAAAGATATTAATTCCACCAGATGTGTTGGGATTGAAATCACCAACAACAGCAAACATTTCAAGCTGTCTCTGCCTGCGTGAGTACAACACTTTCTGTAAACTTTCTGGAAACTTTCTAATTTTGTGTAAACAGAAAACACAAAGAAACGGATATTTTCAGATTTATTTGAGGCCTTGGTTGAGATAGGACTGTTCACTTTCCTGAGATAGTGCTCAGTGAGAGAGGTCCGAAGTGTTGATTTTTATTCTGTTTTGATTGTAATTTCCTCCCACATTCCCCGGTGTCTCCACCACCCTCCTCCCCCACAGCAAGAATGACATTTCGAGCTCTGAGCTCTCTGGTTCGATGTTTATGTTACACATTGTTTGAGGATTCGTGCCCTTCACATAGGGGAATGTCTCAGAGCGCTTCACAAAGACGGGTTGGACACCGGGGCACAAAAACACATGGGGGTATTTATAGAGGGTCAAAGTGGATGGAATTAACAGTGAATCAGCCGGTCTCCCCAACTCCACCACCTCATGAAATCCAACTGATTCAGAACTCTGCTGCCCGTACCCTCACCAAACCAAACTGCGCACTTTCATCACTCACTCCAGTTATATAATCCTTGCATTTGATATACCGCCTTATCACTTTTACTATTTTATTATTATGATTATTATTATATTATCCCGACATTGAGACATCTCAAAATTCACAGAATTTACTGTAAAGTGAACTAACTGTGTATTTTGTGGGCGAAATCTTGCCAAGCTCCACTGGCTCCCTATTGCAGAACGATCAATTCTAAGATCTTCACACGTCAATATCAATTCACACACTAGATCTCTGACCTGCTCACACCCACTCCTCTATCAACCTTCTTTGCTCAGCTGGCTCAGCCCTCTTGCACATCCCTCGTTCTCTCTGTTCCAACCATCGCAGCCTTGCTTTCTGCCACTATGCCCTGAAACTCTGTCACTTCCTACCTCAATCCCTCCACCTGGCCTCCTTGCCTGTCTTCAGATCGCACCTGAAGACCTTCTTCTTTGTCTGCGCCTACGGACACCTCCCCTTTCTCTCTGGCTCTGCATCAAGCTCCGCCACTGTCATGCGCTCCGAGACACCGCCCCACGTAAAGGGCAGTATATAAATGCAACTTGTTCTCGTATGTGATTTACAGGACCTATGCTTACTGTGGCCGTGTGAACATCCCCCCAGACCCCACCATAGAGAAAGGGCAGAAAGGAATATCTGTATTCATCAAGACTCCACTGTCAGCCTATGGCTGTGTTGGTGTCCTGAGCTACATGTTTGATGACCAGCAAATATCTCTGCTTTTCTCCAACCCTCTCGACCAACTGAAGTATAACGTCGAGTATGCTCTGTACACTCCTGACCAAAAGACACCGACCGATGAAGTTTTATATAACAATATGTACTACCATTTGTCGGAGACCAAATCCTTCACGAAGGCGTCCCTTGGCAGAGGGAATGTAGCGCTACAGATTGTCACTGACCAGATGGAGGTCACAGCTACAATGGCAAATGAGAAAAATAAAGCCATAATCAAACTGCAGGTCGGAGATGCTTCCTCAACTCCTTTCAGTCCCAACTGATGTGATGTTTGGTGAGAGACGAACGGATACCTGTATCTGGGTCTCTATCACAGCATCGCTGCATTTACAACAAGACCAACAAAATTACATTTGTATAGCTCCTTTCACATCGGGAGGATGTCCCAAGGCCTGGACAATCAGTGTTTCGGATCCGCCTTCGGCCTTAGCCGGCCTCCCCACAGATTTTAAAACAAGCCCAGTTTCTTAAAGAGGTCTGACCCTTTAACTGAGTTGTACTCAGCTCCTCCCCAAAGAATATTTTCGCCCAACGCCTATTCTCAGGATCACTCACAGTGCCCTTTCTACGCTGGTTCTAAAGTGAGTAGAAATAAGTAGAAATAAGCAGAATTATTTTTCTGCCAGAATACTATGATGCCCTAATTTCAAGTCAAAGAACCAAAACTCATTGCTTGCTGTTTTTCCGTCCTCAGTTTTCTACATATTATAACATATATACACAAATGAAACGCATCTAGATCTTATTTTGCGATAAGATTTTTAGCATCACTTTGTAATGCCATGATTTGGAATAAAATATAATGCAAAATCAAGTTGTGTTTGGGTGTTAAGTCTTATTCTTGCCTCTGGGTTCAAACTCCACTTTGAACTCATGGTCTACGCTGACACTGCAGTGCACTGCTGGGGGAGCATTACAGAATATCAGAGTTGCTGTCTTTTGGATGAAACGTTAAACCGAGATCCCATTTGTACTTGTTTG